TCAAAGTATTCTCATCTCAGGGGAGAAATAAGAGCTATCATATAACAGCAGAACTTGCTTTGCAACAGGAATTATATGGTAGTGGGTCAGCTAGAACATGAATTATTAGCTATGTGCATTAGGCATGTTAATTCACATTTTTGAGCTTTGATTCCCTTACTATAAAATGAGGGTAGAAATATCTACCTCATAGCATGATTGTGAGGGTTAAAGGAGATGATGTTTGGCTTATAGCTGGTACTCAACAAATGGTTGGATTATTGAGACTATCATTATTATTATTATTATTTTAGAGACAAAGTCTCACTATAGCTTCAAACTCCTGGACTCAAGGGATTCTCCTGCCTCAGTTTCCTGAGTAAGTGAGACTATAGGCATGTGGCTCTGGACATGACTGAGCTATTATCCTTAGCATATGAATTTCACTAGTATAAGTTGGTATCACCCTTTTGAGTGGTAGGGTGGCAGAATGGAAAACATGGGTTTTGGATTCAGGCAGACCTGGGTTTGTATTCCTGACACCTCTTACCAAACCTACAACTTTGGGCAATTTACATAAACCTCTATTGTTTCCTATAAAATAGAGGCAGTTATCTCAATAATACCTCTATCAGTGGGTTGCTGTAAAGATTAATTGAAATAATATGTATAAGGTGCTTAGCACAAAGGATTTACTCAATGAATGGTAGTAACAATGCTATTTTAAATAATATTAATACACAAAAATATTCTGTTACTATTCATATAACAGCTCTCAATTGCTTGCCTCAAAGGCCCCTGACCCACTGCTCTCACTACCCTCCCAGGCTCTGGTGATTGAAGCTACTCACACACTATAGATTTTGCCCGTGACTTCAGTTCTTTGGTAGCTGAGCAATCCTTTCTTGGTTCCTGGCTCCATAGCTCATGGGACAAGTGTTTTTATGTAAGCCACTGTGGCAGCTGTGTCCTCATTCACTCATTCACTGACGTTACCACCCTCCTCTTCTACTTGCAGAGCCAGAGCTGCTCTTCATTTGCTGATGGGGGGAAGGGGATTATTGTAGATACAGTCCCAAAATAGATTACTTTTGTCCTGATAAATAATGGCTAGCATTATTCCCGGGAGAGGAAGCACATTTCCCAGAGGTGATGGGGAAAGAAGGAGAGTTCACACCACAATCTGAATGTCTTCCAGAAATTTGTCAACCCTTACATCTGGCTTTCAGATAATTAAATCCTGAGCTATTATAAAGACTCAGAAATCTGACCAATTAAAATGAGGAGAAAGCAATCTCATCTAGATCTTTCTTCCAATCCAATACTCTTCTATATGAAATGGCTCATTTAAAAATATATTCTGATTTCTACTGTTTGTCATGGTTAGTAGATCTTGGGCCTGGAGAGACCTGAGAGTCATCTGCTCTAACTTCAATGTACATGGCCAGTGGTGGGGGGAGCTGGTCTGAGTTCTCTTGGGGCTCCCAGTTCCCTACTCTGTCTTTTATACTGACTAATATTAGGTTAAGCATATTGCACATACACTTTACAAGGTCTTTTAGTATCTGATTTAATTGTGCTTTTTAGATCATCCATACTGTGCCCTTCCTTCTGTCTATTCATATCCTTTCCAATCTTCAGGCCTCACATTTTCTGGGAAACTTTTCCTAAGTTTGATCTATTTTTCCCCTTAATGTCATAAGCACTAAGCCCTTCATTTATGTGAGAGAAGGTATAGAATAGTAGGGAAATTATGGACTTCAAGATCCATGTGCTAGTTTTGACAGTAGCTGTGTGACTTTGGGTAAGTTACTTAATCTCAGTTTCCTTAACTGTAAAATAGGGATAATAATACTTATTTTGTAAGAGTTATTATGATTTAGAAACATGGTAGGTACTCAACAAAATAGATGTGGGTACTTAAAAAATGGTAGTAATGTTGGGCGGGGCGTGGTGGCTCACGCCTGTAATCCTAGCACTCTGGGAGGCTGAGCCAGGTGGATCGTTTGTACTCAGGAGTTTGAGACCAGCCTGAGCAAGAGCGAGACCCCCGTCTCTACTAAAAAAATAGAAAGAAATTAGCTAGACAACTAAAAATATATGTATAAAAAATTAGCCAGGCATGGTGGCACATGCTTGTAGTCCCAGCTACTCAGGAGGCTGAGGCAGGAGGATTGCTTGAGCCCAGGAGTGTGAGGTTGCTGTGAGCTAGACTGATGCCAAGACACTCTAGCCTGGGCAACAGAGTGAGACTCTGTCTCAAAAAAAAAAAAAAAAAAAATGGTAGTAATGTTATTCACATTTTTTTCTTTAAAAAAAATTTTTTTTTTATTTTGTTCTGTAGACCTCCTCTGTGGTCAATTTCTAATCATTTATTTATTCACTAAGACAAACCTTGACTATCCACAATGTATGTGCCTGAGAGAAATATGACATAACCCTTGCCTTTGAGATTCTCTGGGTTTAGCATAGGGATCCTTAAGTGATATTAAGAGTGTCAGTGCATCTCCTGAAGTAGTATGCAAACTTTTTATATATCCATGCCTATATGCATTTATTTAGGAAGAGGGTTCATGATTTTGAGCAGATCCTCAGTAACATCTATTAATATAACACTACAAAAGCAATGAACTCCCTGTTCCACCCCACCCCCAGCTATCTCCACTTAGATTTCCTTCCAGGTGTGCTCATTGTTTGTGCCACCTATTGACTTCATCATATAGTGCTTGTGGTATTGCTTAGCTGTTTAATACAAATGTATGTTTGTGTCTCCAGCCAATCAAATGCCTGTAGGATAGAGATTGTGCTTACATTTTTTAATAGCTTTATTGACTTATGATTCACATACTGTACAATTCACCATTTAAAGTGTACAATTCAATAGCTTTATTATATTCACAGAGTTGTATAACCATCACGACAATCAATTTTAGAACATCATCCCCAAAGGAAACTCCATACACTTTAGCTGTCATCCCTAGCTCCCCAGAACTTCCAGCCCTAGGCAACTGCTAATCTGCCTCCTTTATAGATTTGCCTATTCTGGATATTTCGTAAAATGGAATCATACAATATTTGGTTCTTTGTGATTGGCTTCTTTGATTTAGTATGATGTTTTCAAGGTTCATCCATGTTGTTACATTTTGGTCTTAAATTCCCTTTAAAATTCAGCATAGTAATTTCTACATAACAGGCTTTCTACAAATAAACTTTATTTTAGACTAGTTTTAGATTTACAGAAAACTTGTCAAGATAGTACAGAGAGTTCCCATATACCCAAATTTCTCCTGTTATTAACATATTACATTAATATGGTACATTTTTCATATCATAATTAATGAACCAATATTGATATATTATTATTATTAACTAATACACTTTATTCAGATTTCTTTAGTTTTTATCTAATGTCCTTTTTCTGTTCCAGGATCCCATCCAGGATATTATATTTAGTCATCATCTTTTTGTGGGCTCCTTTTTTTTTCTTGTTGGTTTTTGGCTTTTTTTTTTTTTTTTAGTCTTTGTTTTTCCTTTTTTGTGGGCCCCTTTGACTGTGACAGTTTCTCAGATTTTCTTTGTTTTTGCATAGCAGGCTTTTCACACATGCATGGTGAAGGAATTGAAATTGTTGTCCATAATAGGCAGGATTTTCTCTTTATGTTATGGGACATTAAGGACAGACATTTAATATTTATTATCTAGTTTATAAAAATACCTCCTCTATGTCAGACACTTCCTTAGTAAAAGTATTCTGCAGATCTTTCAAACCAGTGCCAACAAGGCACAGTGAGATTGAAATAATTGAGGAGAGGGGAGGGAAGCTGCCACTGCCATTACCTTCTCTCATTATTATTGTTTTGTTGATGTTCATATCATTATTATTATTGAGAGAGACAGTGTGCTATAATAGAGGCATAGCCTTTGGACAGTAAGACAGTCCTCTTAGCTACTTATTAGCTGTAATTTTTTGGAATATAACCTCTTTGGACCTCACTTGTAAAGTTGTCTTATAGTATTTTATTTTGAGAGTTAAAGAAGATTTACTTTTTTTTTTTTTTTTTGAGACAGAGTCTTACTCTGTTGCCCTGGTTAGAGTGCTGTGGCATCAGCCTAGCTCACAGCAACCTCAAACTCCTGGGCTCAAGCAATCCTTCTGCCTCAGCCTCCCAAGTAGCTGGGACTACAATCACATGCCACCATGCCAGGCTAATTTTTTCTATATATTTTTAGTTGGCCAATTAATTTCTTTCTATTTTTAGTAGAGATGGGATCTCGCTCTTGCTAAGTCTGGTCTCGAACTCCTGACCTTGAGCCATCTGCCTGCCTTGGCCTCCCAGAGAAGAAGATTTAAAAAAGCCCTTCTTGGCCGGGCACAGTAGCTCATACCTGTAATCCTAGCACTCTGGAAGGGCAAGGCAGGTGAATCGCTCAAGGTCAGGAGTTCGAGACCAGACTGAGCAAGAGCAAGACCCCATCTTTACTGAAAAATAGAAAGAAATTATCTGGACAACTAAAAAAATATATAGAAAAAATTAGCCAGGCATGGTGCCGCATGCCTGTAGTCCAACTACTCTGAAGGCTGAGGCAATTGCTTGAGCCCAAGAGTTTGAGGTTGCTGTGAGCTAGGCTGACACCACGGCACTCTAGCCTGGGCAACACAGCCAGACTCTGTCTTAAAAAAAAAAAAAGCCCCTTTTGTGGATAGTGCTGTGCATGGCAGATGCATAATAGTTCTTGATTGATAATAGAAAAAAATAGATCAAGTTGGAAAGGGGAAACCAGGTGAAAAGGTAGTGTAGGAGGGGGACTTCTGTTTTTTGAGTATTTTCTGTAGAGGGCAGAATAAGAAAGATGACCTTGGTTGGCTTGTATATTTGGTGTTAACTTTAGGAAAGCTTCTTTGCTAGACAAGAGCCTTTGTATCCTTTTTTGGTTTGTGTGGGTTTCTAGCCTCTCTGATAGAAGGTCCTTGGAAGTCTATAAGTGCTTAAGATTGTCCTAACATGGCTGTTTTGCTGCAGGTTCTGTGCCTCAGGAACAATACCATTTTTAAGCAAGCCTTTTCCTTCTTAAGGTAAGGATATTAATAAATATAGCTGACATTTACATTCTGCTTTATGTTCACATAGCATTTTTCTTTTATCATATCCACTTACATGGCTACTAAGCATGTCAAGCTTTAACTCCCTTGCCGTCCTGCTTTTTCTTGCTTCTTCCCCCTTCTCAGTAAATGGTAACTACATTGACTTAGTTACTCAGGCCAAAATCCTTCCAGTTATCCTTAACATTGTTAATTCTTTAATTCTACACCAAATTCTTCAACAAAACTTTTTGGCTTTACTTTTGAAATATATACAGATCCATTTCTTACCTCTAGTTTCAGCTTATGTTTTCTGTTTTGCTAAATCAGGGGAGAACATCTCCTCATCATCTTTACTACCATTACCCTGCCCCCTAACCAGTCTCCCTGGGTCTACTTTTGTCTTCCATTCTTTGCACCACAATCAGTTATTCTTTTAAAACCAAGTTAGCCTCATAACACTCCTTTGCTCAAAATTCTCCAGTGGTATCCCATCTTACTCAAAATAAAATCTACAATCATTACCATGGCCTACAAGGCCTTACATAATCTGCTCCCTCATTTTAGAATACTTACTCAGCTTTAGCCACACTGGTGCCTTTCTATTCCTTGATGATCTAAGCATCTTCCCACACCAGGATCTCTGTACATTCTTTCTTCAGATATCTATCTATATGGTTTAACCTCTTTACTTTATTCAGGTTTCTGCCCAGATGCCATCCCACCAGAGGCCCTTCTTGACTACCCTGTGTAAAATAGCCCCCCTCAATCTATCTCTGTCCCCTTACCTTGCTTTATTTTTCTTCATAGCAGACATCACCCCTTGACATATATATAACATTTTTTAATTGTCTCCTCCAGCTCCTTCCACTGACTATAAGCAGCATGGGGATAAGGACTTTGCTAGTTTTGTTTACTGCCATATTCGTAGGGTCTAGAATGGTGTCTGGCACATGGTGGATGTTTAATAAACATATGTTTAAGGAATGAATTAACCCTCATAGTGACCTGATAAAACATGTGATATTATTTCAATTTTACACATGAATAACTGGGGTCCAGAGAGGTTAATTTATTGCTATAAGATGACAGGTCATTTGGGTTGAAATTAGGATTCAAACCTAAGGGTTTTTTTTCCTATTATGCATATGGAGTGCAGCCTCCCCATTGTTTTTATCTAGATGCTGATGAAATGTACTTGGTAGTTTATTTCTCTATTCAGCAGATATTCACCAAATGTCTTATGTCTTATGTATTGCAGTCGCAGGTTATAAAAGAATGAATTGTATATCTTTCTCAACTACTTGGCACTCAGGAACCTGGATAATTTCTCGAAGCCTTTCTCATTTTGTTCCCTTTCCATCTTAATCTATTTTTCTATCATTAATCAGTCAACTATTGTTTGTTTGATACACACTTACCTTGTACCCCACTAGGGCATTTTACATGTTATCTCTAATCTTCACAATAACACTATAGGATAAATATAAATATCATCATTTTACAAAACAAGAAGCTGACTCAGAGAGTTTGAGACAGATTTTTAGTCCCATGAGGTTGTACTATTATTATCTGTGTTTTAAAGATGAGATAACTGAGTTTTAGTGTCATCAAGCAACTTGCCTAAGCTCACAGTTTAGAAGTGGTGAAGACAGCATTCAGCATTCAGATGTGCTTTTCTCCAGCTTATTCCACAGTTTAGTTTCAAAGCTTCTCAGGATGCAGAACTAAAATACTCTGATTACCTAGTCATCTGAACAGAGCCATATTATTCTCCTCTGTGTTCTCCAGCTTCTCTATCCAGTCTGGCTCTCATTGCTGTCCCTTCTCCTCTGTTTTCCCTGAGCCTGATCTAATAGTGCAAGGCTTATATCCCTTTTCTCCTAGGCTGTTGCAAGAACCACCTCATTAGTTTTCTTGCCTCAGTCTCACCTCTTCCCATTCATCACACACCTGCTCCCAGGGTGAACTTTCCAAAATTTAAATTTGATTATATCACTCCTGTGCTTGAAATCTGCCAAGAGCTTTCCACTGCCTATGCAGAGTAAAGCCCAAACTCCTTAGCACAGTGTACAGGCTTCTTCATGTCTTCATGACCTAGCCCCTGATCACCTCCTTAGCTTTTTTTAATTTAGAGACGTAATCTCACTATATCACCCAGACTGGTCATGAACTCCTGGCCTTATGTGATCCTCCTACCTCAGCCTCCCTTTCCTCTTCAGTTTTATCTTTCACCCTGCTTCCCTCCCTGCTGCTTAAGTTCCACTCAAATTCTGCTGCTTGCTATTCCCCAAACATACCTTTTCATACCTCTGCCTAGAATGCTTTTCCTGCGGTGCTAAATAATCAAAAGTATTTCCTCATGTTTTAAAATTCAGCTCAAAATATTTCCACCTCTTTGGTAGAAGTGACCCTATTTTCCGTTGTGCCCCACTGAATCTTGTACATGTTTCTATTCCGGATCAGTACTATACTGTGGCTCACATTTGTTTACCTATATCTTTTCAAACTAGATCATGGTTAGAGACTTCTTACTTATATTTGTATCCTCAGGACCTACCACTTTGTATGGCAAATAGTAGGTGCTTACTGATGTTTTGGGGAGTAAGAAGGGAAGGAGGGAGTAGGGAAATATTTAGTATTCACATTATCTTTAATGAGGAGAATACAAGTTTTGGTAACTGCAAATAAAATATTGGTATCTAATTGTATTCAATGTACTTTCTCCTTTTTAGGTTTAAAGCTTCAGGAGAGAATCCCATCTATTCTGCAGGTAAGCAGTTATTTCCTAATGTAGTCTGCCTGCTTTAAGTGACCCTCTAGCACTCTGTAATAATTTTGTCTAGGCTGAGCATAGTGGCTCATGCTTGTAATCCCAGCACTTTGGGAGGTCAAAGCAGGAGGATTATTATTTGAGGCTAAGAGTTCAAGAGAAGCCTGGGCAATGTAGCAAGACCCTGTCTCCATTAATAATAATAATTATTATTATTATCTGGGGGAGAAAGATGCCTAACTATCTTTGGGAAGAGTGTCCTGGGCCAAATCCCATCCCTTATGTGGAATAGAACGAACCATGGTGAGAACACAAAGTAATGGTTAAGAGGAAGAGCTCTGTAGTAAGTTTGGATTCCAATTCTACCACATATTCACCCTGTGATCTTTGGTTACCTCTCTAAAGTTTGGTATCCTGACTTTAAAAAATGGGAATAATTGTAGTACAAACTGCAACGAGCTATTTGAAAATTCAATGAGATAAAACAAAGTACTCAAAAAAGTTGCCTGCTATTATTATTATTAATACTTCTAGGCCGGGCATGGTGACTCACGCCTGTAATCCTAGCACTCTGGGAGGCTGAGGTGGGTGGATTGCTCCAGCGTCGACCAGCTGAGCATGGCAAGACCCCCTACTATAAAGAATTGGCCTAAATATGAGAAAAATTTAGCCGAGCATGTGGTGCATGCCTGTAGTCCAGCTACTCGGGAGGCTGAGGCAGTTAGGTTGTGGCCCGAGTGGTGCGTCTGGCGCTGGCTTCTAGCCGGGCACAAGCGAACCTGTCTCAAAAAACAAAAAAAAACTTCTGCTATTCCAGACCTGTCTTCTTATGTCTATTATCGGCAGGGCTTTTCTACCTTTCACAGATCTTGATACATTTCACCTGAATCACACATATATCCATATGTAATTTGCTTTGTCTATTTTTTTTTTTTCTTTTATTATTATTGAGCAGAACCATGACCCGGGCTACGATGGCCGTATGTCCCTACAGCTCCACTCAACTCTGGCTCAGAACCCGCCCATACAGAGACGAGACTGAAGGCATGCACAACCATGCCCGGCTAATTTTTTTCTATATATTTTTAGTTGGCCAATTAATTTCTTTCTATTTTTAGTAGAGACGGGGGTCTTGCTCTTGCTCAGGCTGGTTTTGAACTCCTGACCTCGAGGGATCCTCCAGCCTCAGCCTCCCAGAGTGCTGGGATTACAGGCATGAGCCACCACCCCAGCCATGCTTTGTCTATTATGTGACAAATTTCAAAGCAGTTGTTGGATTTTAATGACATCTGTCATGTTACTAAAGAGTATCTGAAATAAAAGAATGGGAATAAAGAAGGGAACTAACATTTACTTAGTGCCTCCTCTGCACCTGGCAGTGTTTAAGAGGCCTTTCATATGTTAATTATTTTAGAAGATGGTAGCAATGTGTAGGGAATCACTATTTCTACTGGGCCTAAAGCCCAGCATCTTAAAATAAAAAAAATTTGTACATTCTCTTTTTTTTTTTTTTTTAGTGCTTTCGTAGCTGAGCTATATACATTCTCTTAACAAACATGTATTGTATCAGGGTTGTGTGTTAGATGGTGGTAATACAAAGTTAAAAGAGTGTAGGCTAGTCACAGTGGCTCATACCTGTAGTCCTTGCACTTTGTGAGGCTGAGGCATTAGAATTGCTTGAGGCCAAGAGTTGGATACCAGACTGGGTGACATAGCAAGACCCCATCTCTTAAAAAATATTAGCTGAGCGTGGTGGTGCATACTTGTAGTCCTAGCTACTCGGGAGGCTGAGGTAGGAGGATTGCTTGAGCCCCAGAATTCAAGGTTACAGTGAGCTATGATCACATCACTGCACCCTAGCCTGGGTGACAGAGTGAGATTCTTTGTCTAAAAGAAAAAAAGAATACAGTTATAGCCATTTAGAAGTTTATAGTCTTATAAGAAATAATTTTCCCCCAAAATAATACAATAAGCACTTATATACCCACTACGTAGATTCAACTTTTGTTAACATTTTGTCATATTAGCTTTTTTTATCAGACATCATGATACTTCATCCCTAAATACTTTACCGTGTATTTCTATAATAGAAATTAGGATATTCTCTACGTTCTGTTAATGAAACATAATACCATTGTTTCACTCAAGAAAGTTAATAATAATGCCCCAATATAGTCTGATGCTCTACCCATTATCTCAGTTGTCCCCAAAATGTCTTTTATGAGTATTATTTTTAATCAGAAGCTAATGAAGTTTCACACTTTGCATTTTGGTATTTGTCACCTTTAATCTAGAATAGCTCTGCCACTTTTTTTCCTACAACAGTGATTTTTTAAAAAAAATATTTTTATTTAATTTTTAATTCGTTTATTTCTTTATTATTTTCTCTCCAAAAAGAACTGGGGAAAATCAGTGATTTTTTTTTTTTTTTTTTGATAAGGCCAGATCATTTCCTTTTTTTTTGTTTTTTTTTTTGTTTTTTTGAGACAGTCTCACTTTGTTGCCAGCTAAAGTGAGTGCTGTGGCATCACCTAGCATCACAGCAACCCTCAAACTCCTGGGCTCAAGCAATCCTACTGCCTCAGCTTCCCTGTAGCTGGGACTACCAGGCATACGCCACCATGGCCCGGCTAATTTTTTTTCTACTATATCTAATTAGTTGGCCCCAATTAATCTTCCTTTCTACAGATCATTTCTCTTATAGAATGACTTTCCTTCTGGATACTGTCTGATTTTTTTTTTTTTTTTTTTTTTGAGACAGAAGTCTCACTCTGTTGCCTAGGCTTAGAGTTGCTGTGGTGTCGCCTAGTCACAGAGGCTCAAGCAATTCCTTCTTGGCTGCCAGCCCTCCCCAACGTACTGGGACTTACAGGCACTGTGCCAGCATGCCGTACCTACATTTGTTCTCTTATACATTTTAGCTTGATCCAGCTAATTCTTCCGTATTTAAGTAGAGATGGGGTTCTATCGCTCTTACTCAGGCTGGTTTTGAACTCTCCCTGACCCTGAGCGGATCAGCTTCTGCCTCCGCTCCCAGTAGTGCTAGGATTACAGGCATGGAGCCACTGCACCCCCCCCGCCGCCCACAGATTTTGTTCTGCAATAATTTCCTTGTGATAATGGTATTGGCAATGTTCTTATCTATCCCTTCCCTACAAACTGGAAGTTAGATCCTAAAGCTTGAGTAGGCCGGGTGCAGTGGCTCAACGGCCTGTAATCTAGCACTCCTGGGGAGGCCAGGTGGGCCAGTTGCTTGAGTCTAAAGGAGTTTGAAACGCAGGCCTGAGTCAAGAAGCAGACGCTGTCCTCCACTACTATTAAAACAAGAAAGAAATTATTGCCCAACTAATATATATACAAAATAGCCCAGGCATGAGGTACATGCCTGTAGTCCCAGCTAACTCCGGAGGCTGGGCAGCAGGATTGTTTGGAGCCCAGGAGTGTTGAGGTTGCTGGAGCATAGGCTGATAGCCAATGCCGCACGCACTCTAGCCTGGGAAACAAAGCTAGACTCTGTCTCAAAAAAATAAAAAATAAAAAAATAAAAGCTTGACTAGATTCAAGTTATGCAAGAAAACTTTTTTTTTTTTTTTTTTGAGACAGAGTCTCATCCGCCGCCGTCCAGCCTCCCAAAGTGCTAGGATTACAGGCGTGAGCCACCACGCCCGGCGCAAGAAAACTTTTTTAGCAAGAAAACTTCATAGCTGATGCTCTGAACTTCTTTTATTTGATTATTTTATTTTTTAATTTTTAAATTTAATATTTAAATTTTTATTATTTTAGAGACGGGGTCTCGCTCTTGCTCAGGCTGGTCTTGAACTCCTGAGCTCAAATGATCTTCCCACCTTGGCCTCCCAGAGCGATAGGATTACAGGCGTGAATCATGGCGCCCGGCCATGGTATTGTATTAAATGGAGCAATTTTGTGGGGAAGATTCTGAGTTTGAACATGTTGAGTTGTAGTGCCATGCAAAGAATATATTAAGTAGTCCATTGGATACGCTGATCTTGAGCTCAGTCTTAGTTGAAGCTATAAATTTGGACATTATCATTTTGCCAATTTTACTTGAGGCTGTGGGAATGAATGTGATCACCAAAGGAGAAAAGGTAAAGAAGAGACCCAAGGATTAGTCCCTGTCAAACTCCAACATTAAAAAGTTGGGAAGAGGGTGAAAGAGATGGCTAATAAAGTTGAGAAAAGGAGGCCAAAGTGGAGAAAACCAGGATAGTAAGTATAGTTTCATCGCAGGCAAAATGAGTGTTTCAAGAAGGAAAAGGTGGCCAGGCGTGGTGGTTTATGCCTGTAATCCTAGCACTTTGGGAGGCTGAGGCAGGAGGATTGCTTGAGCCCAGAAGTTTGAGGTTGCAGTGAGCTATGATTACGCTACTGTCCTCAGAGAGTGTCCTCAGACAACAAAGCAAGACCCTGTCTAAAAAAAAGAAAAAAGATCTGGATAAAGTGAAAGTTTAAAAAAGAAAAAAAAGAGGAGAGAGAAAGATATATGAAGAGATTAAATGAAGGGAACTTAGCATCCTCATTATAACATGAGCAAAAAAGTAGCGTCAGACAAACATGGTATATTCAAGTTCAAGTAGTTCAGTGTAATTAGAAGAACTGAAAAAAGTCTGAAAAGAAATTTTGAAAAATGTGGACAGCCACCAAGGACAAATCATTGCAGATTGTTTTGGTGAGATAGCATTTTTTTTTTTTGAGATGGGGTCTCGCTCTGTTGCCTGGGTTAGACCAGTGGTGTGATCATAGCGTACTGCAACCTCAAACTCTTCCCACTTCCTCCTCCCAAGTAGCTGGCCCTTAGGCATGCACCACTACATCCGCTAATTTTTCCATTCTTTGTAGAAATGGAGTCTCACTATGTTGCTCAGGCTGGTCTTTAACTACTGACCTCAAACAAACAATCCTCCCGCCTCAGTTTTCCAAAGTGCTGGGATTACAGTCATGAGTCGCTGTGTGCAGCCTGTTTTTTCAAAATATCTGAAGAGCCAGTTTTGTTTTGTTTTTTTTTAATGTACATTTACATACTATTTGCCAGGTGCTGGCATTGTATCTGCCCTTGAGGGACTTATAGTTTATTGAAAGGAGAGAATAACCTGTAATTATTAATAGGTTCTTGGCTAGGGATACCCCGATTTTTTCCTCTTTTCCTGCCTGCATAGCCCTGCTAAAAGTGTTTGTTTCAATTCTGAAGGAGAAATAATTAAAACAAAGTTGTTTACCCCCATCCTGGATTGATGTGTTTAGTTTCCAGTTTAGTAAACAAGGACTTTGAAGGACAATTGTCTCTGGCATATATAAAGGAAAAGGAAGTGATGTGGGGAAAGTCAATATGTGATTACATCTTATAATGTGGTAACTGAAATATTTTCAAGGCCTCCTTTCGAAACCCTGGCGTTTTGTTTCTTCCTTCAGTGAAGAGTCTCCTTTTCTCTCAAGGAGGCTGCAATGTTAATGTGACAGCAGGAAACCCAGCTTACTGACACAAAGCAGGAGGAACAAATTTAGTTGAACTTACTGGTAATCAGAGGCTTTCAAACCTGTAAATTTTATAATTAAAACAACTGGCTAATTAAGCAGTTTAACCACTGGTAATTTGACCAAAACCTTTCATTTAAGGGGAGAAATGGCTCATTTAACTTCGATTTGAACCAGCTTCTTAATTAACCAGCTGCTCTAATTATAGGAATTGCCCCAAACTGATTTGAAAATGCCTCCTTGCCAAGGAATTCCAGTAGACAAGAGGCCAAGGCAAGCATTTGTAGCACTTTCACTTAAGTGTGTCATCTTCTCAAATCAGTTTTGGTTCTGCTTTTTGAAACCACTGGTGGGTGATTGAGTTTCTGTGTATATAAAGGTGGTGATTGGCATCTTCGTTTTCTTTCTTATTTACACAAAATATTTTATTATGTGATAGAGGCATGAGAGAGCTATGAACCATGAACTAAACTCATGATGATATTTGTATGTTTAGGACAGCAGAAGAGTTTCAGAGAGATGGCAACATTTGAGCTGGTCCTGGAGGCAGTGTAGAATTTCATTGTCAGAGAGGTGTAGCCCCAGTAGGTGGGGACAGTCCAGCAAGGCACAGAGGCATGAAAACTGCAGGGTTTGTACAGAATGGCAAGCGTAGCTCTGTGACTGGGGAGCAAGGTTTTTTAAAAGCCTAGAGGAATAGGAGAATGAGGTGAAGTAGTTGGAACCAGATTATAAAATCAAACTCTTTAAATGCTTACCTGAGAAGTTTCAAACCTTGAGCAGTGGAAAACTATCAAACATTTTAAAATATGGCAAAGACCTTCTCTGTCTCATTCATTAGTGTCTCTGTAGAACCTAGTACAGTGCCTGACAAATATTAAATACCTGTACTTTGAAAAAAAGTACAATAAATAAATAGTTGAATTAGTGAAAGAGAATAGCATGATGAGATTTATATTTTAGAAAGATTAATCTGTCAGCTCTAAAGGATGGAATGGGGAGTGGTATGGGACAGTATGGGTACAGGGACATAAACAACAACTTAGCTGGGGCTACTGCTCTAATTTCCTAACCCTTCGATCTGCTGTGTTCCAGATTAGGGCCTTTGTGCATGTTGTTTACTCTACCTAGAATACTTATCCTCTATTTTTTCATCCTATAAACTCCTATTTGCCTTCCAAGTCTCAATTTTATTTTATTTATTTTTTGAATAGAAAATACATGTACATTGAACAAATTTTAAAAGGTACAAAAGAACATAAATAATTCCTCTGTCTTCTAACTACTTATTTCCCCTCCCTGGGCATAACCACTATTACATTTTCTTCTGAATGCTGGTCTCAGTTAAAAATCTCATTTTTTTCGGAGAGGCCTTCCCTGACACTCCATTCTAAAATAGGTTCACCTGTTGTGATTGCTTGGGCTCAGCAGTTCAAGACCAGCCTGAGCAAGAGTGAGACACAGTCTCTACTAAAAATAGAAAATAATTAGCCAGGTGTCATGGCTCATACCTGTAGTCCCCACTTCTTGGGAGGCTGAGGCAGGAGGATTGAGCCCAGGAGTTTGAGGTCGAGGTTGCTGTGAGCTACAATGACGCCACTATACTCTACCCAGGATGACAAAGTGAAACTGTCTCAAAAAAAAAAAAAAAAAATCTGTGGTTATTTAAACCAACAAGAGGCCCTCTACCTCCCCAATATTCCCAATCCTACAGAGGAGAATTTATCTCTTTGTGTATGATCTGTCTCCGGAAGAGCTTAGGAATGGGTTGTCTTATTTTCTCTCTCTTTTTTTTTTTTTATTTTTAATATACAGTAGGAACATTTATTTTAACACTTCTAAAAGATATTTCTCCATGCCTGATGATTTGATATAAAAATCAAATCCATCATACATTCCCCTATTTTCTCTTTTTTAGGTGGCATTCTACTGAGTACCAGTCGGCACTACAAGTCAAAGCCCACCCATGCCATTGGAAGATACCAGCACTTAATTAAAGCAGAAGAGGTATGTGGCAGGGGGAGTCCTTTAGAAAAGGATAGTGTGCAGCTTTTGCAAAGACCTGAACATCAGATATGTAGGTTGGGTAAGATGGAAGATGGAAAAGACAGAGAGTTGCCCCTCAGTCCTCTCCAGTTATTTAGTTTGGGATTATCCAGACTGGAGATGTTTCTGTTAGCTTCTAATCTTGTTCTTAAGCCAGTTTGTCATAGTAAAAAGCAAATGGTTTGATTTTATTATTTGTAATAATTTAACAAAAATCTTAGCACAGTCCTTAGTTCAGTATGGACCTCATAGTGGAAATGATAAATTAAGTTTAGTTGAATGAATGGTTTATAGCAAGTAGAGGTAGATTTATATTTTCAGCCAAACAGCTGATTTTTATAGTATTTGCAGATCTAAATATATATGTGCTCCTTGAATCCATTATCACAGATAACTAGGTATTAGTTCTAAGCATTTTAAAAGTATTTAGCTCATTTCTTTGGCCCCAGCTGCACAGTTGTTTCTGTGGTGGTTAGATTTCTATGCATGTGCAGAGGATTTTGTGATGGAGTTGCCACAACATTGGCCTGAAAGTCAGAAGATCTGGCTTTGAGTCTCGAGTCTGTTACTTCCTATAAACAGTACAATTAGGGAGATTTCGCTGTTCTAGTTGGGCAGACTTCAACATCTTTTGGTTCTTTGGCTTATTTTAATGCTCCCATGCAACCATGTATCTTCCATTTGCCTTTCTCTTCTTGGCAGGGGTCCAATACCACTGTATTTGGTCCTTAGAAGCCACTAAACTTACCATGTTCTCCTGAGCATCATTCTTATATTATGGAATATCGTGAGAAGAGCATTGCCACATCTGAGGCCTGTATCAGGCAGGCTCCCAGCAGAAAACAGATGCCTTACTAAACGTGTTCCTTTGTAGTGGGAAGATTACTGAATTAGGAACTAGGAAACTTCTGTTCTAGGCTTAGTTTGGCCACTTTCCAGCTTTATGACTTTGGGTAAGTTAACCTTACCCATCTAGGTATGGTGGGCCTTGAAATTATATGTAAAATGTTGCATGTATATGAATTTTTCTAGGAAGAAGGGTCATAGCTTTTATTAGACTCTTCACAAAGGTTAAGGAACTCTAGAATATCTTTAAGAGTCTTTGAACTTGGATATCATGTACCTTCATGATGTTATGAAATATTTATTAAACATCTATTATGTGCTTGGCACTTTTTTTTTGAGACAGGGTCTTGCTCTGTTGCCCAGACTACAGTGTAGTGGCATGACCCTAGCTCATTGCAGCCTTGAACTCCTGGGCTCAAGTGATCCTCCTGCCTCAGCTTCCTGAGTAGCTGGGCCTAGAGGCATGTGCCACCATGCCCAGCTAATTTTTCTTATTTTTTGTAGAGACAGGGTTTCGTTACGTTACCCAGGCTGGTCTTGAACTCTTGGCCTCACGTAATCCTCCTTCCTTAGCCTCTCAAAGTGCTGGGATTACAGGTGTGAACCACTAACCGCAGCTGCTGGGGACTCGTGATGCCTTGCCTATTCAGAGTAGGTTGCAAAATAATTTTACAGGATGAATGAAAAAGACCTGGTTATGCTCAGAGGAAGCTTGTAAATCAACAGAGATAAGACAGATAATTATACTCCCAGGCAGAAAGTGACAAGTGCTTAAAGGAAGATACAAAGTGCTATTAAAATTCAGAAGAAGGAGTGATTTACACTCCATGAGTTGTGACACATTAGAGTAAGTTGCTTTATTTTGAGACATCTGTCTTCTAAAAGTCCCATATAAATTAGTGGAAAATAAAATTAATTTTGTTTGGGTGGGATTTTTTTTGTTGTTATTGTTGTTTTTATTTTATTTATTTATTTATTCATTCCATTCATTCATTCATTCATATTTTTTTGTGGATGAGGTTCTGGGGCCCCAAGAGAGGGGGGGCCCCAGAAGTCACCTATTGTTTTTAAAAAATTTCTTAGGATCCTCTCTTTAAGATAATTTTCTGCATATGCCATGCTCTGACCCACTTCTTAGCTTGATATAAAAGGAAGTTTAATACCATATATCCTCATCATCTCCTCCAGCCTCTCTTCCCATTTCATGAATACCATGCTTTGACTGTATGGGCCCTCTTGCTTTTCATCCAAATCGTCATTCTCTTTCGTGGCCTCTCACATGTTGTCCTACTTGGAAGACCTTTTCCCCTTGTTCACTTGGCTAACTCGTCTTCAGCCTTTAAATCTCACTAAGAAAGCAGGAGATGAGGAGGTACACAAATGGATCTCCCTTTCTGAGAAAACTTCCTGAATTCCCCGCACTGACTTCCTTTTCCTACCATGAACTGCCAGAATTCCTTCTGCTTCCTTTGTCCTAGGACTTACGGCTCTGTGCTTTTTTTGTTTCTTTGGCAGGGTGGGTGGAGAGGAGGTTGGTTTTTTTTGGAGACAGAGTCTCGCTTTGTCACCCTGGTGGCATCATCATAGCTCACTGCAACCTCAAACTCCTGGGCTCAAGTGATGCTCCTGCCTTAGCCTCCCAAGTAGCTGGGACTACAGGTGTGCACCACCATGCCTGGCTAATTTTTTCTATTTTTCGTAGAGATGGGGTCTTGCTCTTGCTCAGGCTGGTCTCGAACTCCCGAGCTTAAGTGATCCTCCCGCCTCAGCCTCCCAGAGTGCTAGGATTACAGGTATGAGCCACCGTACGCAGCCTCTGCTCTATGTTTTTTTTTTTTTTTTTTTTGAGACAGAGTCTCGCTTTGTTGCCCAGGCTAGAGTGAGTGCCGTGGCGTCAGCCTGGCTCACAGCAACCTCAAACTCCTAGGCTCAAGTGATCCTCCTGCCTCAGCCTCCTGAGTAGCTGGGACTACAGGCATGCGCCACCATGCCCGGCTAATTTTTTCTATATATATTAGTTGGCCAATAATTTCTTTCTATTTATAGTAGAGACGCGGGTCTACTCTTGTCAGGCTGGTTTCGAACTCTGACCTCGAGCACCGCCCGCTCGCCTCCCAGAGTGCTAGGATTACAGGCGTGAGTCACCTCGCCTGGCCTGCTCTATGTTTTAAAACTCTGTTTTGTTTAGGTGTATCTAAATATGCTAAGTTGGAAAAAAATAAAAAATAAAAAAAATAAAAAAAAATAAAACTCTGTTTTGATGACTGTCTCCCCTTGTAGATTGTCAGGTCCCTAAGGGTAGAGGCCATGTTTCATTTTTCTCTGTATCCTCAATGTCCAGCATAGGGCCTGGCATCAGGCAGGGAACAGTAAATATTGATTGAGCTGAACTGAACTGTGGTTATTGGAGCTTCCCTGAGGTTCTGTAAATCAGAGCTGGCAAACACTTGGCTCCAGATGATGTTGGTTGCTTGAAGGAAGTGATGCTTCCTTTGGTTAGGACTGCAGACTTTTCCCTGATGTCATTCAGTGTCCCAGCGTGGCTAGTACAGTAGTGCTGGATATTGGTGGAAGTTGCTCTGGGCTCCTGGTTTCCTGCATGGAACAGCATAATGAAAGCTCTCATCTATGAGTTTACAGAGGCTCTGTCCTGAGTCCCTGTCTCTTTTATCCCCCTGGGGAACTGGACTAGATAAACTAGAAGAAATCTTGTGTGGCCTTTCTTTTTCTTCCTAAGCCTAGAAAAAACAATAAGTAGCCAGATTCCCATTTTTTCCTATCTGGGTCTCAGTCTGGCTCCCCTATTCTCTGGAGCCCAACATTAATGAAAAAAGAGTAAATTCTCATGCTTAGGCACAAAGTGTTCTTGTCCCATTTCTGCTGGTATAATCCCTTCATTCCTCCTTCCAAAGGTCCCACACTCAGTTATATGATTTCTGAACCTTGGGAAGCAAAGGGGGCAGCTACCTCATTCTCAGCTTTCCTAGTCAATACTGATTCTCTCTCTTTCTTGCATGGCCTGGGTTATAACCTGGTTCTCATGCCTCCATCTTATGCGCTAGTTCATGATACTTCTCTGAGGAGGTAGTAGGAGGAGCCATAAAAAAGAAGCTTACTTTTGGGTGGCAGCATGGGTGATGACAACAAATGTGGCATTCCAGTTCACAGTATGGACACGACCTCCTTCTCATTGATTTCCCTTTTTGCACTCTATGTTTCAGGCACGTTTTTTCATACACCCATGCTCTTTCCTGCCCTTATGCCTTTGCACATGTTCTTTCCTCTGTGTGGGATAATTCCCTTCCTTTTTTCTCTGTGGTGCTCGTCCTGTAAGACCCAATTTGACTTGTGGCAGTGAGGAATCACATTTCAGAGCATATCTCCAGACCTAGCACTGTGTCTCAATGCGTAGATATCATTATTCCCTCAAAGGCCCTACATCATTCTGTGGAATTTAAAAGGCTTCAGATGTTTTGGATTGATTTATATTTGATAGAAATAAAAATAATAACAGTCATTCACATTTGTATAGCACTAACTCATTTCTCCCAAGACTACTTGCTTGCCCTCAACTGTTATCCATCTTCCAATCTTGGGGTAATAACAGCTCAATAATCAGAGAATTGCCAAAAGGAAGATGTGGGAGGATGAAATGGAGGCAAGAAAAATTGCTGTCAGTTTGTTATATGTTCTCATTCCCAGGCTCTGGAGCAAGAGAGTAAGGTATATCTTTTATAACTCAGGCAATTTTCTTCCTCTTTATGGAATGGCCCCTAGGAATCAAGTTATCTTTCCCTTGGAAACTTCATGCTCTTTTTACTGTTGATATAGAGGAAGTGTCTGCCATTTCTGACACCTTTTTATTTTGTTGTAACACCCATATATAGATCAACTCTCACAGCTACAAGTCTGGAAGGAGACTGGAATCATTCCCAGAAAAATTAGCAGGTCAGAATCACTTTATGGCACCAGTGCTAGCTTCATGGGAACAAAAAGATTGCTTCTGCTGGTCTAGTGACAGTAGGGCTAAACATGTATTAATATTACAGGATTGGCTTAGGGAGAGTTGTTTTATACTAGCACTGACGCTTTCCCTCAAGTCTATTTGTTGTAAC